AAGAAACAAGGATGCCAATCACTGCAGTAGGTCCTTGGAGATTTATGTTCACAGCTTAGATACCATCTTCTGTTCATTATCTCTTCCCTAACTGATCATCATTTCTGCATCCCCAGGGATACCTGATACAGTGGTCACTCAACACAGAAGAAATGAATACATTGTCAGTGGGCTCCAGAACTTCACTGGATTTCCACATGAAATGATGTAAAGTAGTGAAGCTCATTTTCTCACTCAGATGTGCAGAAATAAAGATACCAGACAACCAACGCTGTCTAGGTACTATAAGATTTGCCTTTGTTGTCTCCAGCACCTGGCCTCTCTTGGAATCAGCCTCCTCATTAGCACTGGCATGTGGACTATCCCACTTCTATTTTCAGTCTCCTAGGCTTCCCCTGTTCTTGAACACCCCCTTCTATCAAAATCACAGATATTAAATTAGACCCTTATTTGGCAGAGCAGTTGAGGGCTAAAGGAACCTCAAAGGTAAACTAATGCACCCATTCATCAGACAGGTGTGAAATTTAAAGAAGTATGGATGACTCTACCTTCTCCACTTGGCAAGGTGGTCAATGAGAAGCTTGAATTGTTACATAGATGTCTAATTACTAGACAGGGCCAATGAAGGCGGCATTCCTGGAGCAAAATTTTTCTTATGAGTTTAGACAACTTTCTGTGTGTAGATAAAGGGAGCTAGACATTGAAAGGGGGGAAAACCTACTAAATAATTACTAAATAATTTCCCAGTTGTATAAGCCATAGTCTCCTTGAATGGGAAAAAGACCTATAAAGAGAAAAGCAAAACAAGACAGAATTCCTCTGGATGTAAAAGCTCATGTAACAAAATGAAAAAAAGTTACATAACTTTACTTATATAAGGTACCTAGAAAAGACAAATTCATACAGGCAGAAAGTAGGAAGGTGGTACCATGCTCTGGGGGAGAGGGGAATGGAAATTATTATCTTGTGAACACAGAGTTTTAGTTTGGGATAATGAAAAGTGCTGGAGATGGATAGTATCGATGATTATACTCCATGATGACTGTATTTGATGTCACTGAATTATACACTTAAAAATGGCTGAGATAGTACATTTTATAATAGTACATCTTAACAAAATAAAAACACATTTACAGAATTCCTTGTAACAGCCCTGAACTGAAAGCCATCCTAGAATTTTCCCACAGCTAAAGCACCACATTTCCAGTTGGCTTATTGTTACCAAAATAGCCAAACTAAATCAGATCAGAAATACTGGAGTACCCAGCAGGATACAACACAAGGAAAATTTTAGTGAACTTTAGCAGCTGCTCATATACCTTGCTTAAAGTAACAGCCATTTCACCAAATAAAGTTACCTTCTGCCCACAATAAACCCAGGATATCTATCAGAAAAAAGATGCTTGTGAACCACTGGGCTGCAGTGTAAAATTCAGTTGGGAACTTTAGATTAGTGTTTTTCCACACTCCTTAAGACATAAAAAAATAGATATTTTAATTACAATTTAATAGGCAAGATATCTGCATCTCAGATCTAGTCATTTTATCATAGGTTGAAGGATTGCATAAGCCAGGAATACATCATCAATGTATAACTAAAAAAAAAAATCTTTCTTTTTTCATTAGAATACACGGCACATTCACGCTCACACCAAAGAACTCTTGCCAAGACATATGGAAAATAGTTTTTAAAGCAGCACTCTTTGTAATAGTGAAATATGGGAACCAATCCAAATGCTTGTCAACAAGAAAATGGCTAAATAGATTGTGGGATATTTGTTTTAAAAGTACTATACAATTTTATGTATCAATATGGATAATTCTTAAAAACTTAGTGTTGAGTTTCAAGAAAGTGAGAGTTTGCGTACCTTTCCTAGAAATCAAAAACATCCAAACCTAAATAATATGTTGCTTAGGAATGTATACATATGTCATGACATCGTTTTACAATTAAACCAGGGAATGATCTGCACAAAATTCAGAGTTAAGAGGGACATGGTGAAAGGAGTCCAGTATGATCAGTAACAGTCTAGCTCTTCTTTGCCCCAGCTGCCTGTGTATTTTCTTTAACAGTTTTAAGGAGTTATAATTCACACATTATACAACAACGTAAAGCGTACAATCTGTTCTTATATACTTATAGGTATGCACAACCATCACCACAGTCAATTGCAGAAGATTTTCATCAGTTTAAAAACAAACTTTGCTCCTTGTATCTATCACCCCTTTACCAAAACCTACCTCCAGCCTCTATCCCTAAGCAACAACTAATCTACTTCCTACTACAGATTTTCTTATTCTGGACATTTCTCTATGAATGAAATCCTACAATATGTGCTCTTTTGGGAATGGCTTCTTTGACTTAGCATGTTTTCAAGGTTTATTCATGGTGTAGCGGGTACAATGTATCATTTTATAATAGCCAAATAATATCCCATTATATGCATATGACACATTTTATCTATCCATTCATAAGTTGATGGATATTTGGGTTTCTTCCACTGTTTGGCTTTTATGAGTGGTCTTGTTCTAAACATCTGGGTACAGTTTTTTGTGCAGATATGTGTTTTTACTTCTCTTCAATATATACTTACAATGGAATTGCTAGGTCACATGGTAGCTGCTTAGCTGAAAAGCTGTCAAACTGTTTTCTGAATAAGGACAACATTTTATATTCCCACCTGCAATGTATGAGCTTCCAATTCCTCCACATCCTCACCAGCACTTGTTACTCCTTGACTTTTTAATTGATTTGCAGTTCCCTGATGATTGGTGATGTTGAACCTCTTTTTGTGGGCTTATTGCCCATTTGTGTATCTTCATTGGTGAAATATTTATTCAGATCCTGTCCCCATTTTTAAATTGGGTTATTCATCTTTTTATTACTGAGATACAAGAAGCTTTTTATATATTGTGGATACCAGTTCATTCTAAGGTACATGATTTTCAAGTGTTTTTTTTCCATCCTGTGAGTTATCTTTTTATAATTATCTAATTCTTATGCCTTAGCTCTAAACCTGGTGTTCCTTTGAATTATAATATCCAAAACTTCAACAGACAGAGCATATTTTTGTGTAAAATATTATATAACTGATGAATTAAAACTTCATGCTTAAAGATATCTGCTAAAAACATTCAAAGCAAAACAAAATTTCATAATGCCCCAAGTAAGCTAGTGCTATTTTTGAGAGTGTTTAACCTAACTTACAGGCATAATTTAGGGACTTAGAGAATCTAGTCCATTACTCATTCTATAAAGATCCTCCCTGAACTCCTGCTCAGGGTGGGTGGATAGCTAAGTATTGCCAGCAGGACAAATCCATACCCCTTCCTTTTTGCTTGTATTTCTCTCTCCTTCCCTAAATGAAAAATGGTTTTTAATGTAGATTCTTAATGTCTGGAAAAAAGGAAGAAAAATATTTTTTGTTCCTGCTGAAAATTATATGGACCTTAACTTTCAGTATCTACAAATAAAATGAAACAGTCACGCCATTCCTTTATGTATTGACTTTAATTGCTTCCAACCCACAATAGCAAAATGAAAAAGTTGCTAAAGAACTCACATGGCTTGCAAAACCTACATACTTACACTTAGCTTGTGATTCAAAAAGTTTACCAACAAATTAGATTACTTCTTCTTTCAAAGTTGAGCAGCAAAAACCTATTTCTAAGTAGCAAAGACCACCTTGGTAATTTTTCTCAGGGTCGCCAACTTCCGTTTCTCAGTATCCTTAACAAATATTTATATTCGAAGTTTATTAAGCATTTTAAGGCTTGAAACTTCATGGAGAAAAAAAGTCTTCTTGCAAATATGCTGCATCTGCAAGGTTTCATGCCCTTGACACAAGCAAACTATAATTATTTCCACAGAATGTAACTGTTTATTGATTTGATGTCTCAGTTGTCGTGTAGTGCTGGAGAAACTTCCTAGCCCTCAACAGGTTTAGAATCTAACTGGACTCCAGTAACCATAATTTCCCCAAAGATAACATTACCTTTGTGATCTTCCATTAAGCGGGCTTAGATAGTTCACCAAGAATTAAAGAAATCTAGATAAGCAGCAAAGAAACTGGGCTCTGCAAACTCCTGTGGTAAACTACGGTGGGTAAGCTCCATAGGATTCTGTGTTCCTATGACTGTATCACCAGAAGTCCTCACCCTTTGGCTAAGTCACCTCTCCTCTGGCTGTCTGAACCTAAATCCTCCCTCGGTATCCTAAATGCAGTCACCATTATTTTGGAGAATGCATCCACTCAAATGTTGCTAAAACTTGTAGCTCGTCTGTAATGCTACGAGACCAAGGACTCCCACATGCAGCTCCGCTGAGGAGCCCAGAAGTGATGCTAACGCGACTACTTTCCCAACAACCCTCTCTCCAAAGCAGTCGCGAGCCAGCTGCAAGGGGACCATTTTCGGAACCATCCTTCAAAGCCTCAGGAGCCTTTGCATTTTTTAGAAGTGACTCATCGCCTCAAGTCAGGTTCTGCAGGAACACCAGCTCGGTTTCTTTCCAGCACTGGCTGACCACGGTGGCCCCGCTCACATCCGTCTGGGTGACAGCCATCCCTGCACCCCGAGCCGAGCGGAAGAGACCCCTCAAAGTTAGCGCGGCCTGGGGTGCCGGGCTG